AGATTACTAGCTGGGATGAAGGGTATTATTAACATTCCGAGAGCCTAATAAAAAAAGCAAGTATTTTTAGTTATGGCACAAAATATCAATCACAAACTATTAATTAAGGCAAGACGGTTAAAAATCATGAGTATTATAAATATTATAAATCAGAGAAATTTTATAATCGAATAAAGAAGCGCTAGATTAGTATCAGAGAAATACATTAAGTAAATTCTAATAAGTCTAACGTACCATACATAGGGTTCTCCCATGGCGCTTCAGAATTTTGGGACTAATAGCCCAAATTCCGAGTGCAATGAAGATAATAAAGCATATAACGGTCGATAAATTACGAAGATCCTTTAATGAACGAACTAAAGGCAGACTCCCCATGGTCCAGTCGGCACAGAGCCAAATAGGACAGATCATGAGAAATAAATTAAGAGGTATAAGATAGAGATGTGTAAGTCTGCGAGTGAGAGTATCAGCATGAGCAGCAGGATTGTCGAATCTTCAAAAAAAATAAATTATTTAGAAAATCTTTAGACTGCCTGAATTGGCAGATATTTACTTACTCAGTAAAATGCGGAAGCTCAAATCCCATTATTTTTATTCTACCAAGTATGAGAAATGCAGTTCCGATGAGCATAATCAAAGTCCTCAGCATAAAATTATAAACATCAGGCAATTTAATAGCATGATCAGAAAAATAGTCTTTTTCAGTAGCCATAACTGGTACTTTGTTAGATTTTCGTTTTAGCAAATTATTTTGAGAATATTTTGAGGTTACACGATCTTCTCGTGAAGCATTAACACGAAGGAAATCTCCCCAGTTAGTTTTATTCCAGATAAATTTCTTCAAATTAGATTATTATAAAGCATACCTGGTATATGATATAGGCATCGTAAAGCACACATACTCCAACTGAAGTAATACATTGTTCTTTGCAAAGTGTTCCAAGTAAGACCAAGGCCAACGTAAAGAATACAATGACTATTTCTGCATCGCGCTGAACAAATCAGATGGACTTACGACGAAAAACCGAATGACGAAACTCGCAAATCTTGGCATAAATATAAATCGAAATAACGAAGAAGCAAGAAGCAAGTAGCTCAGC